GTGTCTTGACTGGCAAAACCTGGTCTTTGTCCGGTCAAATGACCACTCTACAGTCAAAAGACATTTGCAGGCTTGTATGCAATGTTAGAAGTTGTTGGAGTTGTCTAACACACAAGGTGTTCAAGATCTGACCGTTCCACTAGAGCACATCACCAAATACCCTAGACGTTTGGCTGTGCAAGTTCATTTGTGAAGTGACCAAGCAAAATGGAGAGTGTTATCCGCCCCAATTCACTTTATTTGAGTGAGTTATATCAATAAATTTTGTGTCAATTCAGTATTTAACATGCCACTAGTTTCATTAAAGTGCATAACATTCAGAAGTTACTGTTGTTGTGTTTTATTACTTCTGCTTCATTGGTATCTTGACTATAGCCCGAGGGGAAAACTTTGATACTTTACTTTTATTTTAAGGTTGGTGTGATGTCTTTGTGACCTAATATTATTATGTAGATGTAGATTATTGTACCAATGCAGCAGATATCTTTTCCAGATCCATATTTATTTATTGTGCATGAGTGTAATTAGTCAGTTAAAAGTACAGGGAAATAAATATTCATACACCACTTGCAGTGGCATTATTTCTGATAAAACATCAAATACTAATAATGGGAGGATACTGTATTCTGTTCTGAATACAGAGGACAGCTGTATTTGCTTGTTCAAGCAACAGCTAAAAGGACAATAATACTGTTAACTGGTGAAAGTTTTGACCAAACAAGTAATTATAGCGTTACTTCCCTGCGTTGAAGAAGTGCAAGAAAACTTTGGGCAACTACAGAACAAAAAAATGGAAACCAAGGTCACTCACATTTTAGCCCATACACCTGCTAAGGCAGCCTTTATCATAATTCTCGCTCTTTTTTTGCTCCTCAATAGCACTAGCAAAGATATTTAGTTTAACTCAGATCACTGTCTTCTTGTTCATCAAGTTTCATCGCTGTGCCAAAGAGAAAAGCTCCCATCTGGTCTAAGTGTGGCCAAACGACCAAGCCAATGTCAGACAATCAATTAGAGTAGTCAATTTTATTTCTCTCTAAAGATCATAAGTTTAAGGAAACAGATAATTCATAAATTAAGAAATAGCTGGAGAGAAAAAGGGCAAAAATAGTAAACTAATACAATGCTCGGCTGGAAAAATACAAAAGATTTCTAATTAAGTGGATACAACAAAAACATACCACACACACACACACACATGAATGCAATCTATATATTAACTATAGGTAGATAAGGCAACTAAGTCAATCTAGCATTAATTTAGTATTGGGATAAATAATGCCTGAAGAGAGAATTCTTGAATAGTTCTTTAGTAGGCCTAAAGTGGAAGGAACGGGGAAGATCTTTCCAAAAATAATGTCCAATAATTGTAGGAGAGAACTTTCTAATGCTTTTTCTGCAAAAGTGAATATATAGTTGTTCTGAGGAGACATTACGAGTAGTATAGCGATGTTTTTCTGATAAAAGTGGTATTGCAAAATTGGCGGGTCTGTAATCATTGAAGATATCAAAGAAGAAGAGACAAATGTCTCAAAAGTCGTGTTCTATGCACCTTTCTTATTCTTTGCTTTGGTGCTCATACGTCTAAGTGACATTAACAACATAATAACATACAAAGAGAAAAAATATATGTAAAGCCTAGCCATTGGAAATTACGTGATTCCATAGAGTTAAAATGCCAGCGGACATCTTGCTTCCAAGCTACCACTACCACCACCTAGCTGATATTATACTCATGTGTGGCGACATTAACCGTCAACCTGAACCTTTTCAATCAGCTAAAGGAGTCAGCAAGAAAATAGGAACTCCAAACAACAAATAATTTTGTCCTTACTCCTTGGACCAAGCAAGAAAGAATGTCTCTCATCAAGTTTTTGAAGAACTTTGTACAATGCACTATTGCTAAATGTAACATAAAACAACAAATATAAGCAGAGCTTCACATGCACCAGTGGAGCCACATGGCTACGAAAATCTATCCATCCCAGAAAAATCACGTACCACAGGGGCAAAAAATGTTTAATCTCACACTTTCCACTTAGTTTGGGAGCCTGCAACCCGATATTGCACATTCATTTTGTGATCAATAAATAACATATTGGCAGCTGTCAAAGCAAGGTATCCACTGACCAGTATCATCTGGCTGTATCGTGGTATCAATCCATTGACATTGGGTATTTTTTTGAAAATATCCCTTGACAAGTTAATAGTTTTTCAATGATCCCAGGTTCAAGTTCAATGTTTTCAATGCATAGGGAATAAGGTGGTTTTTCAACCATTTTAAAGCCCATAAAGGACCGGCAACAACATTTTGTCTTACTTGTGAAATGAAATCGTGTTTGTCATGTAAATGACATGGGTGTGGAGTTGTCCTATGTGTGGAAATATTCAGCATTGAATTTAGCAATTTATTTTCATACAGCTTTTGTAGTAAAAACATGGGTGGTTGGTTTTGCTCTCCAAAGAGTAAAGAAAAAGAGAACAGTCTAGTGTCAGAAGGCACTCAGAAAGCAATGCAATACAACACTAAAAGTGGTGGAAAAAACGTCGAAGAATGGCAGTAACAATGTGCACAATCCTGCAAATAACAGTCAGTCATCACAGGGCTGAAACTTAACTCCAGTGCTTAGTGGCCAGCCGGGCCAGTTTTCTTGAATTCTTAGCCGACCAGGTGGACATGCATAGTTTAAATTAGAAGTGATATCTGATATCATGTAATCCAAGTAAAAATGTTGAAATGTGTCAAAATACATTACAAAATTCTCTTGCTGAAATTCAGATCTTACATACACTTTCTTCTCTTTCTCTCTCTCTCTTTTCCTTTTTTTTTGACAAAGCAGACTGGTGTCTTGACTGGCAAAACCTGGTCTTTGTCCGGTCAAATGACCACTCTACAGTCAAAAGACATTTGCAGGCTTGTATGCAATGTTAGAAGTTGTTGGAGTTGTCTAACACACAAGGTGTTCAAGATCTGACCGTTCCACTAGAGCACATCACCAAATACCCTAGACGTTTGGCTGTGCAAGTTCATTTGTGAAGTGACCAAGCAAAATGGAGAGTGTTATCCGCCCCAATTCACTTTATTTGAGTGAGTTATATCAATAAATTTTGTGTCAATTCAGTATTTAACAACTGCACCATCAACTTTTGCTTTGAGAAAAAGTAACATTTGCAGGCATGTAAATGTTTACATTAAATGTGGGCAGTAAAATAATAAAATTCTTAATGCAGTTTATTATTCTTTTGTTGTTCCTGCAGGAATTTCGCCCAGAAGGCGGAGGCCCAAAGAGGCACTCTAGTAACTTGCGCGTGGGAAATATTTTGATTTGCTTAAACCGAGGCCCCAAGGATGGGTGGGTAATGATGACGTTTTTTATTGTTCGTGCCCACAAGTACCGGGTTGCCACTCATCAGAAAGTTAAAAATTCCCTGACTTTTCACTGACCTTTAAACAGTTTAAACTGACCTTTTTTTAATGAGAAAAAATCGATGTTTACATTCCCTTTAGCTTTTTTTTACAGGCTATCGATATTTTTGTCCTCTTTTTCGACCTCTTTCCGCTTTTTGCAGAAAGAGGAAGAAGGAATTTGGAATAAAGCATTCACTGACCACAACTACTACATGTGTCAGGCTTAGAGTGTTCAATTGAAATTGCTTTGCTTGCTTTGCAGCATACTTTTCATCTTTTCCGATAGAAAATGCATTTCATAAGTCTGGAAGAAAACTTATGAACTATAAACCAGAAAACGGAATTCCCTGACTTTTCACTGACCTTGACAATATCAAAGATTTTCCCTGACTTTTCCCTGAACTTGAAAAAATTTTGTTCTTCCCTGACTTTTCCCTGACCATGGCAACCCTGAAATAAGAGATAGTATAGTGAAAAACAGAAAATCCTGAACAGACCGCTTAGGTATATTTTGTGATATTTATTGTACAGTCATACTTTGATACTCTTTACAGTTACATGTTATCAGTGACATTCTGTGAAGCAGCTGTTTTGAAAGTTATGGACCAAAAGACTTTCGTTAATCGCAGACGAATTTACGAGGTGTTTTTTTGCCAGACACGAGTTTACAAATCTTTGATTGGAAACAACTTGCCAGACGTAATCTCTCTTTCTTTGCATCTTTGGGGGAGTAAGACTCAATCCCAAACAAGCAAGACAATTGAATCAACTGCTAGCATATCACTGGCAGAACGATGGACGATTAAAGAAATTCACCAACATTTAAATTCTGTGCTGACTTATTCTCATCTTACAGATGTTTTTCTATTTAAACAATGATTTCAAGTGACCTCCATTCATTCTGCAGCCCAGAATGAGAGTTGCTGTAGCATCTTTTCTTTTTTTGTCCATTTTCAAAGACTTTTTGGTCTGATTTTGAACCTTTTTGGCACCTACTTACAAAGGATACAATACAATTATCACTGCACCACATTATCAGTAGGAGTAGTGACCACAAAATGCCCTTTTCCTCATTTACTTAATTATATGCTTATCATTCGTAAAGTTTATCTGTGAGTCTGTAGAGAAAACAAGACACCACCAAGTATGGGTGGGTGTAGCAATGGGCAGTAGGCTAGGACCAAACTACGCTTGTCTGTTCGTCAGCCACGTCGAAGAACAAATCTTCCAACAGTATCCTGGAAAGAAGCCTGACCTCTACAAACGATATATTGACTACATCACAGGCGCAGCTTCCTGCAGCAAGAACGAACTTGACAACTTTGCTGAATTTATCAACAAATTTCATCCAAGCCTTAAATTCACTTGGGCCATCAGTGACAATCAACTGCCTTTTCTAGATCTCCTGCTGAAACCAACACCCCAAGGACTAAGTCCTTCCATCCACTACAAAGAAACTGACTCACACTCATATCTTACAAACACTTTGTCACATCCCGTCCGATGCAAGAAGTAGGTCCCCTACAGCCAGTTTCTACGCCTCAAACAAATATGCAGTGTGGAGAACAACTGCAAGACCAAAAGCAAAGAAATGGAATCATTCTTCCTGCAATGTGATTATCCACTAGCAGTTTTAGATAGAGCCCTTCAACACGTTGACACTATCCCCCGAGATACAGCCTTACGACCACCTAAGGACGGACAATCCAACAGAGAAGTCATCCCTTTAATCTTAACATACAACCCCATCAACCACCATGTAAAGAACATCCTGTCAAGAAACTTTGACCGTTCAAAATCTGACCCTGAAACTAAGGAACTGTTTGATAACTCGCGAGTACTCAGCATGTACCGCCGCGACACCAACCTGCGTGATTCCTTGGTCAGCAGCAACCTTCAATCCGGCGCAAACACTGAGGATGAACCAAATGGAACTTTTCCCTGCCGTTGTCCACGATGCAAGACCTGTGCCCATACCAACCCAGCCTCCCAGAGCAACACCTCCGGTGGACCTCTGACCATACGGTAGAGGTTCTCATGCACGACAAGTAACCTCGTGTATATCACTTGTTGGGCATGCACTATGTCGTACGTTGGCGAAACCGGACGTAGGCTTGGAGACAGGTTCTGCGAACACCTCAGATCTGTCTCAAAGAAAGCTGACCTACCCGTTGCTAAACATTTTTCCTCCCCCGGTCACACAACAGATGATATGATGGTAATTGTTGTTCGAGCGGGTCTTCACAACAGCAGGGATAGACGTAGAGTGCAGGGCCGCCTAATTTTTAAAAAGAAACTCTACAGCAGCCCGGCATAAACATGGACTTCAATTTTATTTGAGCGAAAACTCTTCCAGCGCATGCTTCAAATGTTGCCACATTTGAATAAAATGACGCGCATTCAGTGTAACGGCATCTTCCACTGATGAAGGGACAGTAGTCCCGAAACATCTGGATTTTCAAACATTTTAGCGCTAAGAACACAAAGACAAATTTTAATTGTAATCACCACTAAGTATACATAGTTTGAAAAAAATGATTGTGGCAAAAAAATGAAACTGAATGACTTATTAGCGTTAACATTGAAACAACTGGCTTCATTATAACAAAAAAATGGTTTAAATCTCTTAAGAATTTTGTTTGAAATAGGTCTTGTTCTTTATCTTATTGCCTGATTAACTGCTATTTATATTTGTCATAATTGCTTAGTTTAAGTGTGAATAGTACTTGCTGTATTTTTTCGGTTACAGATACCCTGAATTTTTTAACTTGATTCTTTCAAGTTGATGACTGAAAATTTTGTATAAATACCCAGTTATAAGACGCAACCTCAATTTTGCGCTTTTTTCGCCATATTCACTTGCAAAACAATAGCATTCTCAGAGTTCCTAATTACAGTCATGTCAACTTTTTTAACAAAGGGAAAAAAAGTCACACACTTACAAGAACAAAGCAAAAAAAATCACACCTCTAAAAGATATATAGATAAATAGAGTATTCCTTCTTAGGAAACATTGCTTCTTTCTGAAGCTATGAATACTAATTGATCCAAATTCAGCTTTATAAGCATGTCTCAACTGGTTGAATGCTTGGTTGTAAAACTTCATCACAGTGATTTAGTTAAAGCATTCCTAAGTTTGAAAGAATCATGCCCAGTACTCATCATTCCTATGATATCAACTTTAAATTGAAAATAGTGGTGGAGGCTGAAAGTAGTTAACTAAAATTGGGAAATTGCACGCAAGTACAGAATATCTGAGTCAATGGTTCCCCAATGGCAAAACCAACAGCATGTGCTATTTACTGGCGAGCTTAAGATGACTGCCAAACATACATCACTGGGTCGGTACAGACCAAAAGATCCACATCTAGATCAACGCTTACCAGACTGGTTTAGCAATCAAAGTCAACGTATGATAAAAATTATTTTGTCTTCAATTTACACTAATTTAACAGTCTACATGATCACTGTTAACACACAACACATGTAAATACTCCATACTGTTTTATTTTTTACAGGACTTACAATTAAAAGCATGACACTCTGGTTAAAGGCGAGCAAACTCAGCTCTGATCCAGATTTCAAGGCATCTGTTGGATGGTACAACAACTAGAAACAAGCCACACTGTTTCAATCAGAGCAAAAACAACTTTGGCCCAGCACCTACCAGCAGACACGTGCTGAGGGCCCAGAGACGTCATGCATATGAGTTAAGCCACATCTTAAACATGGCAAAACTCCCATGCAATTTTAACTGCCAGCCACAACAACCCTGGAATTCACAACAGAATAAATCCAACTTTGTCGTGCGGTGGAGACAAGCACAATTTTACAGTCATACCGGCAGTTAAAGCCAACAGAGAAAAACTACTGCCAAAAGTCGCTTTCAAAGGTGTTCGTCAGCTGCGAATCCAAATACCACCAAGAATGCAGGTCTCGGTATGCAAAAAATGCTGGATGGATGAAGAAGGTATTTTTCTTTTCTTGTTTATTATTATTTAATACTATACATCAGCACAGTTTAGTTTTCGAGTTGTTAATAAGTTATTTTAAAATATTATTTCCTGTATGTTTTGAGTGCATAATAAAGTTACTAAATAAAACACCAAGTTTCAACAAAGACTAGAGGACCTAAAATACACAAGTGTGAATTTATCAGACTTTTGAATTTCTAAGGCTTACAATGAACTGTATGCACAGGGCTCAAAATAATTTCCAGAGACTCCGGACACATTGACCGGCCAAATTCATTTTAGCTTGGTCACGTATCATTTCTGGCCGGTCAAATTTATAAGCAAAATAACTCTTAAAACAGGGCCAATCAATTAAAACTGGCATTACATATTTCCAAAAAAGTCGTTGCTTAGAGTTTAAAGCACTCTAAAGCACTCAAAGTCAACAATAAAAATAAATTATCGTACACATTAAATTTGTCCAGAGCCTCCAAATAAAATGATTTCTTGTACATATCACAGTAACATCTTGATCCTAAAACACCGCCAGTAATCCATGTTACTCCCCATTACAAGGGGAGAAAATTTGTGTTCATCAAGAAAAGTAACTAATAAGAGTGAAAATATTTTTGCTTATGCAACTGGAAGTGCCTGAACCCTGATGTCTGTTGAATTGTACACAACAGTTCTAGTTGCATTTCACCCAGGTTTCAGCTCAAAGTTCCACAATTATACACAGTGACTCACTACATACTGATGTCAACTGAAACAACTGAACAGCATGGAAATTTTAATTTATTTCATTTTCTATACGATCGGATGGGTCTGGTCAACATGACAGGCAAGACGAAAGGTTGACCGGTCAACTCCCGCAGCAGTCAGGACATTGTCTGTTAACCACCTGTTATTCTACCTTCTAAGTAAATTGTTTCTTAAGATTTACAATAAACTATTCTCAAAACTGAGAATGTTTTGATGAAAGCGGTGTAAATCGAACGGAAACAGTGCATGGAACACTGCGTTTCCTGTTTTTACTCTCACCTATTGTATGGAATAAATGTGGAAATCTTCATTATGAATAGGTATATTTCAAAGAGCTACACGACGACCAAGAACTATTGACCAACAATATAGAGAGCAGGGGCAGCTGTCGTGTCAACTATTAATAGTTATATCAAACAAGAACTGCTAAAAAGCGTTTAAGTCTCACTTAGTGGAGATTAGATAAGGAACAAGACACTCTTAAAGTGTTAACTCGAGGCTGCATGCAGATTGGAAAAGAAATAAGGAGATAAATTCTTAAGGAGCCAGTGTGCAGCCAGGCATAGGTTACACAGTGACTACTGGCTGCCTTATGGTTCAAAGAATAACCAGTCTAAACTTAAACTGGAAAAAGATTATGGTTCAATTGTTACAGTTTATTAATGTAAAGTGAAAATTTCCAATGATGTCTGGGCAATAATTCTGTAATTTCAACAAATCTTCCACAATCAAAGGCAATACCACGAGGCAAAGATCGAGACCTTGCATATTTACAACTTCAAGGTAACATCAGTGAAGACATTGGCATGAAAAATAAATACACATTTCCAATACTAGAGAACTTCAAAAGTAAATAGACTAGTTCAATTTGTAGACTAGTACTTTCCATTGGCCGATGACTGCTGCAAGTAGAGTCTATGACAATAGAGTACAATTCTACACTTACAAAGTAACACATCTATGACACAAACATAACATCAGAAGAGTAGTTGAAGTTGGTTCTAGTAGTTGAAGGTTAAAAATCTTTGATATCTTGAGTATTCATAAAGTGCAACGCAACTTCACATCTCAAAAACTGCGAAAATCTATCAATTAAATACATACAACCAGGCGAACCTGCAATGTCGAATATATCTAACCATAGCGTTCCACTAATTGCATCAATATTGTGAGAAACATAATGCCTCAAATAATACAGCATGAAAGAGGATTTCCCCTGCTATAATATTTTCACGTACACATCCAAATACGCATACGTATGAATACAAGGGTGATTCAGGGAAAATTACATCATTGCCAAAAAGCCATACTAGAACATGATCAACTATGGGCATCACCTCAATCATTGCCAAAAATAAACCACACGCTCATCATGAGTCTCATTTGCATACAATGAAAGTCATCACAATTCTTATTCCCAAGTTTCCACGGTTGCCGCTAGCAATGCCTGGGACCACAACCGTCGTTTTCTGTACATAATACAAACCAAACAAAGGGCTTGCAGATTATGAGTCTCGAGACTACTAACTAATGATTGATTAATTAACAAATGGTAAAGTGCTGCCCACAACCATCCAGTTATAGTCTCTTGCTTCTTGAGTGCTAAGCAAACCTCTCAAGTGCATCCATAACTCGATGGTTCTGACACTCCTAACGATCTCCAATGCCATTTTCACGACAGACTCACAGCTGTAAACACTTTTAGCCGGCCGTTGAAAGAAGACGGGTTGGTGCTTCTCGTCTGCTGAGAAGCTGATTTGACAGAGGTTATTTATCACGGGCTTCCTATCACATTGCTGCGAAAATTGCGAGCAAAATTAAACGTTCCTTCACGAAGCTTTGAAGCGTGTGATACTCTTCGAGTGAACAGTAACTTAAACCTTTCACTTGCAAAGATTTAGCAAACTTTCCACATTTCAAAATGCACGTAAGCTCATAGAAAGTAACCTTAAGTTTAAGCTTAATTTCACGCTAAGAGTATTTACCGAAAATATTTTTATTTGGATAAGGTTTGGAGACCTCTACAAATTATTTATATAAATGAAAAGACTAACTATTTCCTATGTCATTAACATTCTCGAAAGCTCTTACCGTAAACAAGTGTCGCCATCAAGCTTTAATACTTTACTGAATTGAAATCAGCTCAAACCTTTGGTTGTGTTCAAAGCTGTTCATTCGACCTTCACGTGCACGTGTCTTGGTGCTCTGTGAATGAGATGAAATAGGCTATTTAAAATACAAATTTGCAGAAGAACTCATTTCAAAAGACTTACCAACGTTTTATCATAAAGCGATGAATATTCACCTCCCAGAA